GGGGGGGGGGGGGGGGTAGCAGACAGACCAGACAGACAGATGGCAGCTGACAAATGTTTTCAGGTTGGTGAAAGGTCCAATTAAAATGTGACTGTTTTAACAGTCTGACTGAGTAGGAGTGGGCTTTGGGTGGCGAGTGTTGTTGTGTAACTAAAGTTTGTTCATGACAACAACATGCAAAAAATTTGTGAATACACATTTATTTTGGAATCGTATCTATGATTTGTATTAAAAAAAGGTGCTTTGAAGAAAGAAAAACTCTCTCTGGTGTCCCTCTGTTCCTCGGCTTGTTAAGTCTTGCTGGAATGTATTTTCTCCTGTCCAGTGACTACGCTCCTTCCTGTTAGTGCATTGCTGAGAGGAGGCCGTCTCCCTCCTATTGTGTTTGCAGGGCTGAAATCAAAGCATATGTCTGCAGGAAATGCACACTCGACTTCTGTTTCCCTTTTCTCTTACAATTCACTCGCAAAAACAATCAGAGCACAAAAGTTTCTAAACTGGATCGGCCACAAGATTTCTGGCTTTCGACCAAAGAAATGCAAAAATCTTCAAAGTGCTTCTTAGCACAACTAATGTCCCAAAGAGCATCTGAAGAAGCCGTGGAGACCTAGTTTATGACAGATCAATGAACTAAAATCAGTTGCACAATGACTATCAGTATTTTTTTTACAACAGTAAGTTCATTCTATCGGTAGTTGTTGAGCAATAAAGATGAGTTCAATGACTAACTAATTGTGACTCTAATGAGCCTTTTAGGGGATGTAATTAGTAGCAGCGGGGAGGCAGAGGGATTGGACTAATCCTCGCTTATAGATTTGTTGAACTAGCCATCCCTATAGCTGAGTGGAGCAAGGCTCAGTCTAAACAATTCAAACAACGCTTTCAAGGATCTATTGTGTAAATGTGACCACAATGATTTTTCTCTAGAAATAAAACCTACTGTCAGGAATTTGATGTTCAGAAAGACAGAACTCCCAACAGCTGCAGCCACAATCATCCTGCCTGCTTCATTACCGTCTCAGCTGTTTAATTTAAACTCAACAGGGATCCAAACACAGACCTGGAATCAGTGTTGTATAAAGTACTGAAATCTCAGAGTCAAGTAAAAGTATAGGTACATCTCCAAAATATGACTTTGGTAAAAGTCCAAGTTACTGACTGAAGTGTTACGTGAGTTAAAGTCTTAAAACATCTGAAATGTCTTGTACTTAAGTATTAAAATTACTGTAAAAAGAGATGTACTCAAGTAATGTAATGAAAAGTATAAGTAAAAAGTAAAAGAAAGCGAATGCAGTTTGGATTACATTTCTTATATTTTGGTAAACTTTGAAGGTCTAATTCACTTAAAATAATATACAAAACCACGTGCAGGAGAGGTTTAGACCAGGGGGTGTATACTAAAAACATGGTTAAGTGATAAACCAGGCTTAGTTAACCTACAGGAAGTGGTAAACCTGCTAATAGAAACACCTGCAGGTATAATTTTACTCTGAGATTTCAGTACTTTATACAACACTGTTGGCAACACTCAAAATTGAAAATTTGAAACACTCAGCTAGGTAATAAAGGTAAAATCTCTGTACTCTTTAGATGAGTAACCTTTCAAACATCCCTGCTGCAGTTTTTTTCAATAAAATGACACATTATCCTCCACCTGTTGGCATCAAAGACAGAGCTGGTAGGGAAAGTTAATCGTTACAGATCATTTTCACTGCTTTTCAAGTTTTATGAAGCCTATATGATCGCGTTACACAGATTTCACGGCCTGGCCAGCTCAAACTGTAGCACGACTAGAGTGATTTATCCCCTTTGATCGTATGTGGCTGGATGTTTGTCTGAGCCAACTGTTCAGAAATGATCACACAAATGATCTCATTCCCCTGTAATTACTGAGCGTGAAAATTAGGCATGTCTGCACCAGAGGCAGACTGGCCGCAGGGAATCCCCAGGGTACACATTCATTACAACCCCCCCCCCTCCCCCCTTTCTTTCTCTCTAACTCTATGGGCTAACAAACAACTAGAAAAACTTTCAAATTATCATATTGAATATGTCTCATCCAAACATTAAAAATCCAAGTTGCCCTACTTTCCATTACTGACCTGCGGTTTTCTGTGGAAAAATACTGGAGGAAGAAAATAAAATAAAAAAGACAGAAAAAAAGCTCTGAATACATCATGATAACACAAACAAACTACTAGTTTTGCTGTTAATACACAGTAGACAAAGCATTGGACAGTCAAACCTTTTCAGAACTGTGTTCATTCTAAAAACAGGTTGACAATTGAATTCCATTTTTATTTTTTATCCACATGTCCTCAATTGAAATTAATTCTATGTCCATAATGTTTTTATCCCAAAAATTGTGCTAGGGGGAGTTATTTTTTAATTACATAGTGTACCTATTACCAATCTGAATACAATGCTCATCATTCCACAACATTTGATGTAATCTGAATATTTGCATTATTTTGAGATGCTATAATGAATGATTTGATTAAACAAAATTTGAACGGATAGACAACTAACGTAGCATTTGAACTTTGCAAAGGCTACTGGCTGATGATTAGTTTTGGAATAAGTTTAGAAGCTGAGCTGTACATGTGTGCTTAAAGTCGAATACAACACAATGAATATTTTAAGGGTGGATCATTTTCTTTGTTCTCTTTAAATCAGCCTTTGTGTAGGGAACGAAACCATTCAGTCAGCAGAGTAGAAACAAATACGTAAGAGGAGTTTCATTAAGCACAAACTGTCATTATCATGTCAATGGATGACAAACAGTACCTGTTATTGTGTTGTTTTAAATCAGGCTTGCAGCCAGGCCCATTTATGTCAGAAACACATGTCCTGCTGGCATAAATCAGAGCCCAATAAACCGGGTCAAGCAGAAAATAGACGAAGGAAGTGTGTGCACATTTCTCCACACTCCTAACAATAGAGGCTGAGCAGCACAGGCTGCGGACCGGACTTTAAGACAGCTCTGGCCATGAAGTGATAGGATGAGATGTTGACCCCTGGTGAGTCTTGGAACACCCAAAGCTTCCTGCCACATGGCAACTCCAGAACTCCTCGTTGTATCGTCCCTGGAGGATGATAGCCCCCCATGGAATGGAAAGGAGCCAGCAAGCCAAGCAGGAAGGGTAGAAGGAGGGTGGCCTAGGTAGAGGCTCCTGATCAGGATATCCTGTCTTTGAGACACATCTTTCTGCTTTTAGACCCTTGTGCATAAGGTGCATACCCCACTCCGAGTACAAGATGCATCATTTACACGCTGTGCTGTGAGGACATCAGAAAACATCCCAATCACAGCAAAAAACTAACTAACACTATAATACTGATGACAAAAACATTAAAAACATTTTAAGGACAGTCATGTGAGTAAAGCACCAGTTACCGGATCTCCTTGCATCTTTCTGTCCTCTCAAACTGGCACACCTTTCAAAGACATTCACACAAGACAGCCATCATTAGTGGAGACACGTCGTTTCCGAGAGAGCGGAAGTGTCCAAGCTTATGGCGACTCCGGATCTCAGCATAGAGAAGATCACCCTCTTCACTTTGCACAAAGTGCCCCTTCTTTCTCTTCTCTATCCTCTCCATTATGTGTCCTCCCCTCTCACAGGTCTCAATGGAGGCCCTGTCATCTGCAACAGGCCCGAGCCAGTTCAGAGGCTCAGCTGCACTGACTTCAGCATCACAGGTAACGGGCATCCATTAGGAAATTATCCAGAGAGGCTCTAAAATATTAATTCATTTATTTGATAACCAAGGTAAAGATGCAAAAATGCACATTTGCATAATAAACCTTGATACGTGTCATCTAGCTGTCCTATGCTAGATGCCTTGGCCACATTTTGACCTACTCTGTAAGAGCAATCCGCAGTCACACACTGTTTGTTTTATGGCTGTGTGTATATATAACTGTACTGCTTTTTTAGCGGCATAAATCTATTTACACAAACAGACTGGTGTTTGTGTAAATAGATTGCGTGCAAGATAATGGAGACTCAACTTCCTCTAGGGGACATAAAGCATGTCCTTTTAACGTAAATCAGAGAACAAGGTTAGAGCCCAAGCCACACATGTTTTAAAACATCTGAAAATACATAGTTTTGAACGATTACCTTTGCATTATTTTTTTCACACAAAAAAATTCACTTAAGTCTAATTCTCTGTCAAATTATCCCTGTTTCATAATTACAACCAGAAGGTTTTCCCCACCCTCTAGACAACAACTTCAATTTCACCTGCCCCAGCTATGTTTATTTCTTTATTCCATTAAGTGCTAAGAAATAAAAAACTTATTCTATCTTCTGATGGTCTTCATTTTTATCGTCACAATAATCAAATGTTGAAGGCGCTCATTGCTGGTGATTACTGAAACAAATTTAAAGGGTCAGAAGGGTTAATAAATCTTCAAATTTGGCCTTACATATCCTGATCTATTCAAAGGATTTTCACCAAGCAATGGCCCTGATAAGTTAACATCTTGAAAGGATCCTTAAACACGTATAAACATTAGTGTTTAACTGTCAAACAACCCATGTACTTAAAACATTTGTTACAGTTGTAACAGCTGTCTCTCTTTCCAATTTCCATCACAAAACTCTCTGATATGAGGGCATATATCAAACTCTAAAACAAAGCACATGGTCATGTAAATGATTCAAGTGAATTTTTATTTTTTTTAAACAGCCATAGTGGGCTGTTTTGAACCAGTTTTACAGGAGCCTATATGCACAGCTGACCTTTGTACATGACAGCTTCAGGACAGGAGGTGTGTTGAAAGAAGCTTGAGGCACGAAAACCCCTCAGAGGGTGAAGTTGACAACTGAGGAATTAGCTGTGTAGAAAGGCACTTTCCGGCAGGGCTCAACTCCAGAATCATTACTCAGTAAATGGTTTTGTTTAAAGATTAAACCTGCACCTCCAAAAGCTATTCAAAATACATTTGTAACAATTAAATTAAAGATTGTTGTTACAAACAGCCAATAAGTAAATTCAATTTAATTAAAAAAAAAAAAAAACATAGTTGTGAAAGATAGTCTATACTGACACCTAGTGGCAGCAAAACTCTGTGGTAACTATTCTCTTGTCGGAACTTGAGAGTACATGCTAGTGGAAAATCGGAATTATTAAGAGGACGGACCACCCAACGGAAGCTTAATCCAAGCTAAACAGTTAGCATTAGCTGTGTTTACACACTATGGTATCCCACAGACAGGCGCGGGTGTGGAGGTACGTAGAAGAAGGCAGTCTTCTGAAGCTGAAGTCGTACCTGCGGAAGCATCCAGACCTGGACGTGAATTTTACTCAGGGTAAGAGGCAGAGGAGCCCCTTACAGCTGGCCTGCTCCCTGGAAGACGACGCTGTCCTGCGGCTTCTGCTGAAACACGGAGCCGATGTTCTCCAGAAAGACCGCAAAGGAGACACGGCGCTGCACGTCGCTGCTAACAGGGCCCTGAAACACGGGAAAACCGGTGAGAGAGACGCTGTTCTGGCTGGATTTAAACTCATAACCACCGCTGAAGTATTTATTTATTTCTGTGTCGTTTTGTTTGACCTTATGGTTTTCTCCCAGTTTACGACGACCTGGTTGTTCCCCTTAAAAAGAGCTGTCCCGAAGCCCTGACTGTTCCAAACAGAGCAGGAGTCACACCACAGGATCTGCTGAACTGGATGAAACAGACAGAGGTAAGAATAAGTCACATGCCTGAATTTAGGAGCGCTCCAACAAACTGTGTTCAAAGACAAAACAAAACTCTTTCAAAAGATACACACCACTGCCACATAGTTTCTGGGAAACACCGGTTCTAGACCATACATATTTTCCAGACTGACGTTTATAGTTCTGTAAAGTGACGAGGACATGTTGGTGTAAATGGCACCTTGAGGCCATATTGAAGCAGCTGTCATGGATGGAAACAAACAGCTGACTTTGTCATTTACAGGAAAGAGTTTGATATGATTCTGTTCAACTGAGCAATTACTTTGTCTGGAATTCTGTGATGATATTTCTTTTTCTTTAAAAACAGAAACGGCTCCTGATACAAACCGTTTAACAGATATGGCAGTTTTCGTAAATTTTTTTAACATACCTGTCAGGAACCCTGGGATAGAACTCTGCCGGATGTTGGGCAGTTTCACTCTGAATATTTACATCTGTTTTCCCTTGATTTTTGTTCAGGCGCCTAAGGTGAGCCACCAGCCTGCCGCTGATCCTGAGAAGGCGTGGATTGAGAAGCTGTTTGGTGAATGCGAGGATGAATTTTGCGACACATTCGGAGTGTATGACGGTAAATATCAAATATAGCCCCGAATGCTGAATTTGGTTCAGACTTTTTCCCCACTAGATTCCAACACTGCTGCGTTTGTTTCACAGCCGATGATTTTCTTCCCGTCGACGAAGACGACCAGGATTTTGGGGACTGGGCCGATCGGATCAGGAGGGAGTATTTTAGTAAAAAACATGCGGAAGCTCAAAGACTGGCAGCAGCGGCGTCCGCTGGACAGAAAAAGCAGAAGGGCAGGCAACAGAAGGAACGGGAAGCAGAAAGTTATAAGGAGCTGCATGAAAGGCTGCAAAGGGAACACCAGGAGTATCTGTCTCGGGCGGCGCGCAAAGAGGAGGAGACTCGGCTGGGGAAGAAGCGTCGCTACGATGAGAAGTGCGCTGCCACCTTTAGTGGCGCCTCCTCGTCCACCAGCACAAAGCTGAGCTACAGCGACATCCCCTGGCCATCTCCCAAAGGCTCGGTCCAGGAGATGGTGGAGGTGATGCTGCACGGCGTGGACCGAAAGGACACCGGGGTGCTCCGTAAAGCGATCCGGAAGCAGCAGGCGCTGTGGCACCCGGACAAATTTGCTCAGCGGTGTGAAGCTCGACTAGAAGAGGGGGACAAACGGCGGATCCTGGATACGGTCACGGCCCTCTCGCAAGAGCTCAACGGACTGGCTCAGAGCCTGAGGACTTGAAGTCAAGACAAATAAGATGTCTTTTTGTCCATCAGTTGCCTGGATATTGTAAACATTGAAAGCACTCACAGGTGACAGTCATACATTTTGTAGGCTCTAAATGGAAGCAAAAAGACAAGACTTGGCATATGTGGGTCATTAAAGAATTCTAAAATAGGCTTATCATGATGCTGAATATCAGACTGTTGCATCAACAGATAAGATTTTATTTGGATGGCTTCGTCAATAAATTGATGCAATACTGCTGATCTCATGTCGAAAGATGCCAAAACAACTCGGAAATAAAAACACGTGAATGTTAATTATTCAGAATATTTGTTTTAGCCTTAAATGAGCGTGGTGTGTTATTAAATCTGCAGTAACATTTCAGTTTCACCAGCTGTAATGTTTTTGTTGTGTCGTGTCTCATCCAAAACGTGGTTTTCATTAATTTCAACATCCAATGGTAATTCATCTTAAACTGAATTTTATGCTAGGAACGTAAAAATGACCACATTATCCCTAAACACCCCATACAGAATATTGCAGACACAAAGAAAGGCAGATGGTCGGGCCGCTTTCAGCGATGCAACCTCATAAAGAGATGCGCTGGTTGCCAGATTGGACAACTAACCCCCCTGAAAAGATAAAGAAAGAAATGGTTGCCATTCCTGCATATTTTAAAACGAAACAAAGGAAAGAACAGATATGTTTTACATTAAATGCACACGTATTTCTCACCAAAAACTAAATGAAACCGACATAATCCAGACATATACTCAATTCTATGATAAAACAGGTAGGCTTTATTGACAAATGGTTAATTATTATTATTTTATATCGCTGTGAACTCTTTTTAGTTAAGAACTATTGCTTTGCTCACTTTATTTTGCTCGTAGTTTTTGTTTAGGAAGCCTTGCCTTGCTTCTCTTTCCTAAGATCGCCTGCGTTACTAATGAAGCGGATTTAACGTCAACATGGGATGAATTTATGTAAGACGTGGGCAGGAATAACCCATTTTGCTGTCATCCCTGCGCTTACTGTCTAAACGAAACCTCTTTCTGGCCACTGGCTAAAACGTCAAAACGCCACATCGAGAGAGTCCGTTTATTTCCGAGGTGGTGACGAGACCTGGCAACCCGGGGACGCAATCTGTGTCAATTGCCCGGCGACGTGGAGCGAATGAAGGCCGTAGCCTATTTCTGACTGAGGGCTTATTTTTAACGAGCGAGTCCGCGTTTAGCCTCAGTTGTCAACAAGGCGGGTTGATCATTTATTATCTGGTTTGGCGGTTGCCATCCGTCCATCGGGCTTTTGCGTGGCTTTTTTTCCCGTGAATTTTTCCGCTCTTATGACAGGTGTTCAGGATAAGAGGAGCGAGCCCAGAGCATGACGCCTTTCTCCAGTCTGTCGACGCAAAAGGTGTTCTAGTCAGGTTTCTGTCTTTGTCTTCAGATGCTTTATTCGGTGGACACCGGGCGACTCTGAGGAGAGGGGGGGGAGAACCACCCAGACCCGGGATGAGGAGCGTCCCCCCCTCGTGAAAAGCGTGATTATTATTAGACAGTAATTAATCCGCGGCGGGACGTTAATTGGCTAAGCGGCTCGTTTCGGGGAAATCTGCGATGCGCCGTTTCACTAGAGTGAAACACTAGTGAGCCGGTCCCGTTGTTTCGGGCTCGTTCGGGCGACGGATAGATCATCGGCGGAGAAGTGTCCGCCTGGCAGATAAAGATGGTGTTCCGGAGTGAGGAGATGTGCTTGGCGCAATTGTTCCTGCAGTCCGGCTCAGAATATGACTGCATCAGTGAGCTGGGAGAGCTGGGGCTGGTCGAGTTCAGAGATGTAAGTAGATGGCCTCACAGTGCATCTCTATACCAATAAAGTCCATCCCCAATGGACACGTGAAGGGGGGGGGTCTATGAAAATGCACTATCTATCTATCTATCTATCTATCTATCTATCTATCTATCTATCTATCTATCTATCTATCTATCTATCTATCTATCTATGTCTGTCTGTCTGTCTGTCTGTCTGTCTGTCTGTCTGTCTGTCTGT